TGTAGGATTCACTTTTTTTGGCAGAAGGAAGAAATTATGTCCAAAGTCAGGGAGAGAGGTACGCTAGACTTTGAAGGGGCAGAGATCTCTATTTCCCCTGATCTTTCTCAACGTACGCTCGCAAGACGGAGGGCTGACCCCTGACCCGACTTTTGCGGGACTGTAATATTTCATATCGATGGGGATTCCCTTTTCAGCTAATTGCCAGGAAGAACGGCAAATCGGCCGTACTACGCTGCCCTGCTGACCTCGATGGCTTCCGAAAGGCGCTTGGGATCGCCTCGGTAGAGCTGGAACCATGACCGGACCCTCCTGCACCCAGCTTTCCCTCTCTCCCGGGCTGGGATCAGAGGAGGGAGACTCTCCCTCAGAGGAAGCATCGCAAGGAGCCTAGTACCCCACCACAACCATACTGATGGATGCTGAGCTTTTCGGAGGCCACCTGATTCTCCTTTTACCGCTGTCTACTCAGGATCTTTTTGTCGCTTGACACAGTCACTCCTCTTGCAAGTCGTTGCACCACATTTTGGAAGTGCTCCAGTCTGTCACACTTGCCCAGCTGCACATGGATCGCTTCAATGACTGATTCTCCTTTGGCTGCTGGCTATCCAGGTCCCTCCCGTCGCATGACACAATCCCTCTCCTAACAAGTCGTCGCATCACGTTTCAGAAGTGCTCCAGTCTGTCACATTTGCCCAGCTGCACCTGGATCGCTTCAATGACTATTCTACTCTGAACTATAACATATTACTTTTTTTTCCTACTAATTACTAATTTTTTCCTTCTTTTCTCCTTGCCTGTCACTTTAACTTCGCTTTTATATTAATCCATTCTCCTCATTTACACTTTTTCTGATTACTGGATATGTGGATATATACTGGATATGTGCGATTCTTGCTCCCTCCATGCAACATTTGTGCTCTAGCTTCTACCTGACTGACTAGTTATACAGTTAATATGTCCCTATGTTAACGCATTGATTAATAGTTATTGTTGTAACACTGACATCACGTTTTAACTTACGGATCTTAATGTTTATACTGTTTAAAGCGATCCTTTTTCCTTTCTACCACATGATCTGCTATTTGAGATTACTTGGTGTCCTATTATTCCTGTAAGATCAGACCTCCTATGTATACATGGCTAGGCACTTGATATCTTGTGGTAACTGTTTGCAGACCATCATGTGAATTGTATACCCACTCTTTCTGTTCGAGATAGACATACCGATCTTGCTATATGGTCCTGGGATTTGCCCTGTTCTGTTGGGCACTGGGATCCCCCCACCCTCTCTCCCTCCTCTTCTACTCTACCGTTTCCCCTACCACCACTGCTGCTTCTTCCTCCTCCTCCTCCCCTCCTCCCTCATTCTTTTCTTTTTCTGGTCTTGCCCCATTTATTTTCTTAGTTCCTCTGATGAAAATGTCCTTGCTGAACCTTGTCTCTCTTAATGTACAGGGACTGAATGAACCAAGAAAACGGTCTCGGCTCCTATACCATATGCACAAGCGCAGAGCCCATGTCCTTTTTCTGCAGGAAACTCACTTTAGAGGGTCTCAAGCCCCTTCTTTATCTTCTCGTTACTACCAAGAAGTCTATCTAAGCAACAATCCGATCAGCAAGTCCAAAGGCGTTGCCATATGTGTCCATTCTTCTGTCCCCTTTGTTAAGGGTACCTTATCTTCCAAAATGGTGACATTTGCTAATGTCTACTTGCCCAATCAGAACCAAGTTTCGGTCTTACTTGCTATCCTTGACAAACTGGAAGGCCTTTACCGATGACCTACTGAAAATTGGGGTGATTTAATTTCACAATGGACCCCTCCTTGGATTCTTCCACTGGGAAGTGTCATACTCACTTATCCCTTCTCAATGAACTCAAAAAGACATTGCATAACCTTCAATTGATTGACATCTGGCGTATCCTACACCCCTCCTCTAGGGATTATACTTTCTATTCCCATCCACATTGCACACATACTAGGATTGACTTTTTCCTGGTCTCTCACTACCTTCTTACCTGGTGTCCCAAGGCTTCTATTGACACCCAACTCTGGTCGGATCACTACTGTTCCGAACTCTCTGAATCGGACTCTGACTTGGCGCCTTAACGAATACTTACTTCAAGATCCCACCACAGTGGCAGCTGTACACCGCACGATTTCCGATTTCCTCCTTGTCCACACTCACGACACCACCTCTCTGCCAATACGCTGGGAAACTCTTAAATGCCTCATAAGGGGCACTTTAATCTCCCATGGCTCTCACCTAAAAAGAGAAAAGTCGGCAGCCATCTCTGCCTTACTCCAAGACATACACACATTAGAGAATCACCATAAATCTACTAATTACCCTATTCTTTACCAAACTTTGACCCAAAAACGTACACTACTGCGCCTACTTTTTGATCAATCGGCCTTGAAACACAGAGATTCCTTTTAAATGGCTTTTTACAAGCATGGGGATAAATGCGGACGTGTGTTAGCTCGCTCCGTTAGATCTAAACGTACCCGTACGTACATCCCTAAAATCATGTCTACGTCCTTACGAGCGTTCCACGACCCAGATCTCATTGCCAAAACTTTCCACACATGCTACTCGGACCTTTATAATCTTAGTAAAAAAGACTCTCTCCCCCACATCTCCCCCATCACATTTAGACATTCTCCAATACATCCAATCTACACCTGGCCCGGACGGGTATACAGGCACCTTCTACAAACATTTTAGAGAATCGCTGACACCTATCCCGGAGCAGACCTTCAACTCCATCTCCCACACTTGCAAGTTTACCTCCCAAACACAAGAAGCCCATATCAAAATTTTGCTGAAAGATGGTAAAGATCCCACTACATGCTCGAGCTACAAGCCAATATCACTCATTAACATTCACCCGAAACTCTTTGCCAAGCTCATCGCTAACAGACTGGGACGGTATATCCCGACTCTTATCCACGAGTAATGGCACTCGCCAGGGCTGTCCCCTCTCTCCATACCTATATGTCCTGGCTATGGAACACCTGGCGGAGGCCATCAGATTGAATCCATCGATTCGAGGTATACCTGTAGCTAATGTCGAACATAAAAGAGCCTCTATGCCGATGATATACTTCTATACGTTAAGAATCCTAGAATCGGATTCCCATCCCTTCTGGAAGAATTCCGCAAGTTCGGCAAAGTTAGCCACTTCAAAGTCAACTTGCACAAAACAGAAGCTCTTGATATCTCCCTCCCATCCTTAGAAGCCTCACAACTTCAAACTCAATTCCCATTTCCCTGGCAACAGCATCACATTAAATACTTGGGGATCCTCATCCCCCCCAACCTAGAGGATCTCTATAAACTAAACTATTTGCCCCTACTACAAAAAAACCATTGCCAAGCTCCGTTACTGGAGTTCTCTCAAACATACTTGGCTAGGCCGCATGCCCCTGCTCAAAATGGATATTCTCCCCCGCTTCCTCTACCTGTTCCAGACGGTACCCATTTGTCTCCCGGTCTCCTTTTTCAAACAATTAAAATCTTCTCTTCTTAAGTACATATGGGCCCATAAACCGGCAAGATTGAGCTACTCCATCCGATGCAAAGAAATGGGAGGAATGGGATTACCGGACCTCAGGACATACCACAGAGCCACTTTCCTCACCCACATTTTTGACCGCATGTTTCATGTAGACCACAAGTTTTGGGCGCTCTTGGAAATGCACAAATTCCCATAACAAGACAGGAATTAAATGTATGTACACCAACACTAGAAGTCTAGTAAATAAATTAGAAGAGCTTGAAATTATGATACTCGAATGAGGACTTCGATATAGTGGGTATATCGGAGACCTGGCTAGACGGCACACATGATTGGGCTACTAATATAGAGGGGTATAACCTATTCAGGAGGGACAGAGTGGGAGAAGGGGGGGGGGTTTGCATTTACGTTAAAAACTATCTAAATATGCATATAAGGGACGATACCACGTCAAACAGTTGAGAAGATGTGGAGACCTTATGGCTGGAGCTCGATATGGCGGACCCTAGCCGTGAACTTATTGTGGGTATTTGCTATAAGCCTCCGAATATAGGGGAGGAGGGGGGAAGCAAATCTACACTCCCAAATAGAAATAGCTGGGAGGGAGGGCAATGTAGTCATGATGGGCGACTTCAATTACCCGGACATCAATTGGGCTAGTGGTACCTCAGGATCCACAAAGGCAGGCCGATTTCTGAACTTGTTGCGAGACAATTTCTTGGAACATAATAAAAACACCCAAAACCTTCAAGTGTTCGCCATCAAACATATTTCAAATCAACTATCCCCTTCCGAAAGGTTTCATCTTCTCTGTAGAAGAGAGACCTATTGGATATATAAATTGAATACTCTGGTCCCAATAGGTCTTAACAAAGAGATAGAAATTCACACCATTCTATAAAATAATACAACACATATCGGTCAGCCGCTACCTTTCAGAGGTCAGTATATCGATATTCCAATCGTTTTTAAACCTTTTTCCCTCATTCTTCTTTTTCATGGGGGAAGTTTTTAATCACACTTGACATTGAATGCATCAATAACAGCTGCATTCCATTTTAATCCATTTTTTTATCCATTTGTATTTTTAAATAGTATTTTCAAACAGTATTTAACTAAATATGGACAACAATAAGGATTAAGGTCCCATCTGTCTTAAATAAACCTTTTAAAGTTTATATCTAGTTTTAAACACCAAGTCCCTGTCCATGTATTCGTCAGGCAGTATAGTTGAATCCCTTAGCCCACTGCATCCTGCATGACAGAACGAACGTGAGATGCAAACTGCAGATAACAAGCCAAGTGCTGCCCGTTATGCTCATGGGGCGTGCTCTTGTACCCGATCCGCCCCACTATACCACTTGTCAGGGGGGTACGGCTGGGCCGTGAGTGGAACCCCTTGGCAGGGGCGGCAAGCCAAAGTCCGAGGTCGTGGTACACAGGGAAAATCCAAGAAGAATAGTCAGGAGTTACGCCTATGGAGGATGAGGTGGTCGTGGATCGCAACTGCGGAGGCTTCTCAGTCAGTGAAACCCTAGTTTCACTCTTATTTATCAGAGAGTTAGGGTTTCTTGCATCACAGCCTCAAGTTAAACTAAACTCTGGTTTTAGAGTGGGGTTATTACTTCATAAACCCTAGCCCAGAGCACCAAAGTAATCGGGATATACCGGGTAGCAGTTGGGAGAGACACCATTCAGTACAGCAAGATTCAGGTTCAAAGCCAGTAGCAAGATTTTAAGCAAGTAGCTGGTAATGGATACAGTCTCTAAGGAAGGTTGTGCAACTGCACTAAATACTTGCTGTTTGGAGGGTTGGGTTGGGTGCACAAGCTGTGGGTCCGTTTGGGGTCCGGTTCCGGTCAGGGCAGCAGTCCAAGTACTGTGGAGGCAAAGGAGGGTCCCAGGAGACAGCAGGCGTTCTGGATCAATAGTGGAACGCCATGTCTCGTCTGGGCGCTCATATAGTGCTGTATGGGTTTGGGGAGGAGCCGCCTAATGAATCGGCGCACTTCCGCGTTCCAAGGTGGAACGCACCCGGAAGTGACGAGCGTGCGCTCCACCGTCGAACGCAGCGGCGATCCGAGACGCAGCTGGCACCCGACACTAAGGTATGCGGCGGTGGCCGTTACAAATGGGCGAAGAGGGTTCTTTACAGTAAGAGCGGTTAAGGTCTGGAACTCAATTCTCCTCAAAGATGGCAAATTTTCACATTACCTAGGGCCCTCTCTCTGCCTGGTACTTACCTGTCTCCTATACCTTTGAATATGTACAGCTTTGTGCAACCATGTAGGTTGTCGCTTGGCCATTTTCTCCATCACAGGAACTTCTATACTTGTCGCTCCTCTATCCTTTTGACTTCTATGTCCCCCATCTTGGTCCCGCTGCCCCATCTCCTTTCTTTTTCTCTTTTTTTTTTTGTGTCCCCAAGCTGGCGCTTGGAGCGGCAATTCAGCCAGCCGTCCTCTGAGGACCCAATACCTCCATGTTTCTCCTTAGCACCTACCTCCTGGGCTGCGGGTTTCTTATCACTTGTATGTTTGTCCTTGGCCACAGGTTTCTCATCGCCAGCACATTCCTCTACATCAGCAGCTCCTGTTAAGTCCCACTGTGTGTATCCGGGATGGATTGTGTGTGAGGGCACTAAAATGGCTATCATATAATGGCAGTCCCTGTCCATTATATGATAGCCCTGATTTCCTGTGCGTGAGGCCACTACAAGTGGCAGCAGTCTCTCTCTCTCTCTCTATCTATCGAGAGAGAGAGAGAGAGAGAGAGAGATACACACATACAGTATATATCTATGGGTGCATATATGTACAGGTAGCCCTCAATTTATGCCAGGGTTAGGTTCCAGAAGGAATGGTTGCAAATTGAAACCAATGTAAAGTTAAACCCCATATATAATGTAAGTCAACGGGAAGTGAGGGAGTCAGGTTACAGGCCTCTCAAAAATGACATGAGCGACATAATACACTATTTAAAGCTTTAAAATGAATGTTATAAATGCCCCAAGGACACCACTGTGGACACCCCTGTGCCCTGAGCATTGCTCTGTGTGCCTCCATATCTCCAAGCGTACCCCTGTGCTCCTCCCTATTTCCAAGTGCACTCCTGTGCTCTTCCATATCTCCCAAGTGTACCTCCTATGCTCCTCCGTATCTCCGTATCTCCAAGTTTAACCCCGTGCCTGCTCATATCTTCAAGTGTACCTCTATGCTCTTCTGCGGCTCCAAGTGTACCCCCTGTGCCTCCAGAATGTCTCTATGAGCCTGTGTACATCTTCAGGTGTATCCCTGTACTACCAGTGCATCTCCATAAGTGCACCACCATACCTCCAAGTGTCCCTCTGTAGTGTGTCCACAGTTCTTTTGAGTCCCTTCCAGAGCCGCAATCCTCCATCTATGCCCTGATCCAGCTGCCAGAGACTGCACAGTACTCTGCTGTTGTATTATAGCCACCTGCAGTTGTGCTGTATAGTGTTCCCCTGCGTATCCTTAAGGATACACTAGGTGAGGCTGTTTTAATGTGGGGTCACGTGACCAGCCAAAAAAGGCGCTATTTTGAATCGTCGCAAAATGAGGGCTACCTGTGTATATATATAAAATATGCACACGTATGTATATACATGCATATACATACATGCATACCGGGTCTGAACCCACAGCCTCTGCTGTAGCTGGTTCTACCTGCTGAGCCACCTAAGAACCTTGGATAGCTCCTTGACTGATCTCATGTGTATACTCAGTTATACCTAATCAGATACTGAACTCTGACCTCCGTGCTCCTCCCTTGAACTTCCTACTTAAGTCATGCCTCTGCACTTCCCCTTTGCCAGATTTTTGTGCTCCAGCCTTGATCTGCGCTTCCTGCTCCCTCTGTGCTACAATCTACTCAAACTGCTTCCCGTGTACCGACCCTTGGCTGCTGATTCACCGACTACTCTCCGTCTCCTGCTACATACCTGATACCTTTTGGCTCCTGACCTCGGCTTTTTCACTGACTACGCTTCTGCCTGCTCCTCCACCACTACCTGCTTCTGCTTGTGTACCGAACCCGGCCTGTTATACTACGAATTGCTGGACTCTGAGCCTGATCCCAGATCGTGACATCTAGATATACATATATGAATGTATAGATATGCACAGTTAAGCTTATCTAGATATGCATGTACATGCATATGTAGATATGCATATCTAATCATGCATAGATGTAAAAATAAATATGCATATATATCTATACTTACACATCAATATATACACACACACACAGTATATAGATATATATCTATATACACATATATAGATATGCATATGTATATCTCTGCATATCTAAAAATATATATAAACATGCACATCTATAGATGTGCACGTTCATGCAGATAGTTATAAATATATTTATATGTTTACATTTTTTTTATTATATTGAAATATGGACATAGGCTTTTATTGGTAAACAATGTCACAACTTCTTTACTAAAACATTCAAAAATTTGATGTTAGGCTATTTCTGCTATTTCTGTCAATAAACCTATTTTTTTTATTTTTTTTAGTAAGAGATAACACTATACAAAAATATATAAACATAGATATAAAGAGCAGACAGTGTACAACAACAGAGGCATTAAGAATATATAGCAGGCTTGATGTCACACCACTATAAAATGGGTAAAACATTTGCAGGAAAGAACACTGGGTGTGCTATACCTGCAAGATTAATGTCCATATACTGTACACAAATAGCAAAGAAATCGATGGGGCAAATACTAACAATAAGCTCCAAGGAGAGCAGGAGAAGCCATAAAACTCGGACAAAAACGGTGGGGCTCTGCACACCACCCCTTGCCCTCAAAGGAGAATAATTAAATCCATAAACTGACAAATTAAATATTAACATCTTAAAGAGATAAGAACAAGAAAGAAAATAGTGGAAAAAAATAACTAAGAATAGAAAAAAAAGGGGAGAAAAATAAATTATAATCAGTAGGGTGGACAATATATTTGCCCATGTTCTCCAAGGGGCACCCTATCGCAGACACAATTGGCAATTACTTTGTTGTTATGGACCTTTGGGATAATATAAAAGGTTGGGATATTGAAGTATTCAATCTGCAAGAATGTACAGGTGAAACTCGAATAATTAGAATATCGTGCAAAAGTAATTGCAGTAAGTGCTGCAAAAGGGGCCCAAACCAAGTACTGAGTACATATGCATGCTTGTACTTTTCAGAGGTCCAATATTGTTCTATGTACAATCCTTGTTTTATTGATTGCATGTAATAATCTACTTTTTTGAGGTTGTGGATTTGGGGTTCTTGGGGTTTTCATGAGCTATAAGCCATAATCATCACAATTATGACAAATCAAGGCTTGAATTATCTTGCTTTGCATGTAATGAGTCTATCTCATATATTAGTTTCACCTTTTAAGTTGCATTAGTGAAATAAATTAACTTTGCATGATATTCTAATTATTCGAGTTTCACCTGTATACTCCTTTTGGGACAACAGACCTGCTTCTTTAGCCATTTCTAGCATGAAATTGAAGTCACACTTCACCTAATTGAACTGAGATTCTTTCACACTGCGATACGTTTGATTGTCATTAAGAAGGCGTTTTGCTTCTGCTACATACATTTCCTTAGATAATAATACTACATTGCATCCCTTGTCACTCATTTTAATCACTAATCCGGGGTACTTTTTAGTTCTGTGAAGGACAAATTATTTATACATTTATAGGCTCCGCTGGTCTGTATGTGTAGCATGTGCCTCTCTCGCAAAGCTCATACAATTTCACCCCATACCTGGCAAATTTACTGAGAATATACTTTTTTATAGACGTGAATTTCATTTAATCCCAAATGGATATTAATGCCAATTTTGTTCAATGCAGACATTCAGATGCATCTGAATTCTAACGTGTCCGAATGCGAACAAATCCAAATGCTCGTTTATCAAAAATTTGGATACATCTGAATTTAATTCGAAACCAAACTAATTTGGAGATGTGATTGTTTTCTGGCCAGTCAGATGGGTTATTTTTTGTTGGGGATTGCATTACAGGCTCGGTCATGTGACTTCGTTCCGAATCGAAAATTTGGATGTGAAACACGAATAATGAACTGAATCGAATTTCGGATCCGAAAAAGAAAAAAAAATCCGAATGGATCCCAAACTAAACTAATTTTTTTGCAGTGTTACATGTCTACTGTTTTATAATAAGTCTACCTGTGAAATGTCTGAGGGACTCATCAATGCAGATATTTTGTTGGAGGGGTATATATTTCAGAAAATTTGGTGGGAAAACAAAATGATGAGTGGCCTAATTTTTTGGAGCTCGTCAAATGTGGGGTCACTTCTGGAAGGGCAAGTTGAATTGTTGCTGAAATGCAGAAATCTCATCATTTTATATCTTGTCCTGGACATGAGAGCAGAATATAGGGGCATGTGGTGGATTGGCTGTGTAGACCAATATGAGTTGTTTTTTTGTTTGTTTTTTTTTAGATTTGTATTGGCGAGTCCCATGTTGAGTGTTAGACCAAGAAAGGTTTTAAATTGAGAAACACTCAGGTTGAGGTTTCTACTCAAATTGTCTGGCACAAGAGGAATTGGGATTGCTTATAGTGAACTGTTGGTTATAAAGGGTGGCTTAGTCGGCAATTAAAGTGAATAGTGCTTCAGTCAAAAACAAACAATTTGGATAGGTGTAACATTCTCAATTTCCACCTGAACTCTTGGTTGAGCAGTAAATGGGGGGATGACAGGAATTGCTGAAGTAGAGTAACAAGGGGTTTGAAAGTGCATCTGGTAAACTAGTATAGGCATACCTGTTAGAAAAAACTAGTATGGGCTCTCTGGGGCCTAATTTTTTGTGGCTGATGTTGGATCAGCACACTACTGGTGGTTGCCGCTGCATGGGGATGCACCTCACTGCTAGTGCTCGCCTGCTGCATTTCAGCTAGATGTTGGATGGTTAATAGCACAGCACACCTATCTTTTTAGCTGTGTGAATTTCATCTTCTGAATCAGAGGTGATTAATGAACCGCTGCTTTCAATAGGTTCACACTCTGAACTGTGGCGGACCTAATAACTAAGGGGCCCTGGTGCAATATTTTATCTTGGGACCCCCTCCCAAGACGGGGGGGGGGGCGCGGGAGCAGATAACACTGGCCCCCGAACCCCCCCAGCGGTCTCTAGTGTTGCAGCACCGTGCTGGACTCTGGACTTACCAGAGATCCTGCATAGCCCACCTGAAACTCTTTATGGTGTGTAGGCTCTGCAGGGCCCCAGGTGGGCTGGTCATCAGGGTCCCTTTACCTCCTCCCAACTCTACTCTTCTTACCTGCTGCTGCTGGGGCCCAACCTCCTCCATCCCCTCCCCTGTCACCACTGCCATGCTGCCTCTGGTACAGCTGATACCTATGTAAGGGACGTCTCAGGCTGCCCAGACCCATCACATGGGTACCCACCATACCCCCCTGATGGTAGACATCCCAACCCTCTCGGACGCTCCGGGAGTCTACCGCTATTAGATAGCGGCTCCCGGCAGCCCGTGAGAGAAACATTTTCTTCCGGAAAGGTTTACTCTGCTTGATCGAGCAGAGTAAACCTTTCCCTGCTCTGTTTTTTTTCCCCCTGACATTGGAGCCACCGGCAGTTAGATAAAAAATAACAGCCTAGGAATGCATAGCTAGATTGCTAATGGCTATTTTGGCGGTCCTGAAATGTCACTTCTATCTGACTTTGTGAGTACTATGGAATGTGAGATCGTAGTCACAAAGTCGGCTAGAAGTGACATTTCAGGACTGATCAGGTCTTCTGAACATACGATTTGCAATGCCGATCTGCCCTGGAACAGCTGAGAAAGCGTTGGAATGCTTGACCTATTGGCGGTCACACATTTAACCGCCGAAAAACTGGGCCGGATTACGTTAAAATGTGTGACCACGTGACCGGTCACACATTTTAACGTAGTCACAAACTTTGATAGAACAGAGGCCCTGCTTGAAATCATTTAATCAGAGAAATAGATTATAATAGGGAACATTACAAAGTAATGTTCCCCATTTTAATCCACTTGTCTAATTAAATGAAATAAAAGCACACAACCCTCGCCCCCCCCCCGCAGCTCTGACTTACCCAGCCAGAGCCTCTTCTCAGCCAGACCGGCTGTAACAGCCACGGGATCGCAATCGCGGCATTTGCGTTCCACCCTGGAACGCGGCGCCAGCAGGAG